AAGGAGAGAAGGTGGGACAGATCAAACGGAATGTAATGACAGATCGCGCGGGGTGTCGAAATAGACGCTGACGTTAATCATGTTTGCCGAGGTCCCGTGCAAACTGCGCTTTCTCGACTGCTTCAATCCGACACGAAGAATTTGATTGCTTGGATTTTTCAATCAAGATGGATGAGACTTGTTACTGCATCGAAAAGCTAAAAATTAAAAATATAAGAATATCGTCAATCATTTTTTAAATAATTGTTTATTCACTGTGGAAGTGACTTGCACACCAGTATTATGGTTTTGGTAGGTTATTAACACAAATCCTTTCTAGAAGTCGCTTGATTTTTCAATAAATATTAACTATAAATAATCAAATACAGATATTCCAAAGATTATTCAAGCATTCTACAGTAACTATTGTATCTATTCGTTGCTTTAGCTAATTAACCCAGATCATTAAAAAAATATCTTCTTTATTACTAAATGAAGTATTATTGCATTACTTTATCATTTTTAATATTTATTGGCAGACTAATAAAATACGATAGTTTTTAAATGTTTTAAATACATTATTGGTCAGTTTTTTAACGATGGAAAATTATTAAATTAAACTAATTGAAAAAATTAATATTTCATCTGGAAATGACGTACTTTTGGTATGTATTACTGTAATTTGGGATATTGAGACTTTGTTTATTTATAGAAAGTATAATAGTGCAAACTAGTTGGATAAATGAGACAAGGATTTTTAAATTCATCATTTTATAAACTATTACGAAAATAGTTTAGTTACAAAGTATTTTATCTAAAAATTATGTTATGAAAAAGTGATTCAATTCCGATGGTAATGAAAATTTCATGATAAATTAGAAATCACTAGCTGTATTTTTTAGAAATAATATTTCATAAAATTTAATTTTCGACTATTTGTAAAAATGAACTCGATATACGTTTATGTATTGTAAATATTGCGAAACAGCTTTTAGTACTAATAAGATGGGATTATTATGATTCACTGTAGTTAGTTAAAGTCATTTGTCTGGTAAGTTTAAAAGGTTCAGTTAAAAAATTTTTATGATTTTTTAAAAGTTTTTTAAGTAATTCTTTTAAAACATTTGACAGTATTGCAAAGTCGTAAGGTCAAAATTTCGAAAGGCAATGTACCAATGTCACATTACATAAATTAATAAAATGTCCTAACATTTTCATATACTTATGATATGAATTGTCATTCACGTATTCAATGTAAGGTTTAACGTAAAGTACCAACCAAAAGTACAAGTTACTCAGTTTGTTTCCATTAACATACAAGTACTAGAAAAGCAAGTTCAAGTATATTAATATGCTGCAAGTAAACAAAAAAAATTGACTCGTTTCAGATTTCAGTTTCACAACTTTGGAAGAATAACGATTCATTTGAAATAATTTAATTTACTGCAACTGTTTAAAAAGTTTAGAAGCTTTTAAAATATTTTAAATTTAACTCATTAATCTTATCTGACATTTCACTTTTTTCTTTTAGGGTAAATTTTATGAAAATTGTGATTAAATTTTCATTTTAAGTTGGAAAAAAATTTTGTTCGTAAGCTTGAAGTTATGACAGCCAGAATTAAATTTACTACGTTTAGTACGCTTATTTCTCAGTTAAGAAAAATTATAGCGAAATTGCAACAGAACACGCGTCGTACATCTTTCGACATAAATTTTAAAGTCACGAAAATCCAAATCGAACTCTTCAAGGAGATAAGCTCCTGGAGCATTGCTTTTTCAATAATCCTTCTTTCAAAGCTCATTACATTCTTTTATCCTTTTCAATCGAAGCGCGCAAATTTTCTTAATAATTCTTCTTAATAATCCAACTTCCGCCCCCTCTTTCACTTGTACTTGGATTTCTAGGCTTTACTTATACCAGCTGCAAGCTTCGAATTGCTGAAATTGCTAGAAAAAGTGTTTGCACCCGAAGGTCTTAGCTCTGCTTAAAAGTGGTCGGAACTTTTTAAGGAGGAAAACTACAATGGGCTTTTTTGCAGTTTTTCCTATTTGATTTTGCGTGAACAGTATGACTTATTAAATCAGATGAATGAGCGTACCTACTGTTTAGCTATCCGTTAAACTTTAAATAAAATTAGCTCATCGTTTTTTTTATTAGAAATTTTATCTTCCATTTTATCTATTGTCGGGTATAGTTTTGAGTTAGTAGATTTATACCATTACGTAACGTTGTTTATCTGAACGTAATACATTCCAATTTTAATTTTCAAAGCAAAATTCGCAAGATTGTTGTTAAAAGACTTATGAACCACTTTATGAGATGCTGGGACTAGTTTTATATTGTGTTAGCGTTTCTGAATTTATTTCAACCTTATCGATTCAGCTGAAAAATAACGATTTGCTTATTAAAAGATATTACTTTTTAAAACATTTTCTTTGGTAAAACAAAGACTCAACGAATAGTAATATCAACGATCGTAGTGTACATTGATGTGGAGGTATGTAAGCACAGGTACATTGTCCAGAAAGAAATTATATTAACATATCTAGACAATGACATACAAAGTTGGAAATATGAAGGAGAAAATACAGGAAAGGAGAAAATGGCATTCTTAGACACAAAACCTGACGATCAGTAATGAAAGCATAAAAAAACAAGTAGTTAACTAAAAAAATATGTACAAAAAATAAACAAGAGAGTAAAGGAAAATAAAAAACGTAGCCATAGGCAACGGGATTAAAATGTAGTGACAAATATTTAAAGGTAAATACAATTAAAAATTTCACTTTATCTTATCTTCCTTCTTATGTCTCTCAATCTGACTCTGAGTATTTATTATTAAGTATGTGCTTGTGTTAGTTAAGTTATTATGATTTAGTCCTGGTGCAAATTGTTAGTTATACTGTTTTCACCAAAAAATAAATGTTTCATTGTTGTTATTCCAGGTTTGGCATCTCTGCGTCTAATTCTCTGTATTCTATGACCTCAATTTTATAAATATTGTCATATTTTTTTGTATCATCTCTTTTACTGTTTATCCCGTATTACAGTAAAAATAAAACGTTATACTGTAAACATTTAAGAAATTTCTGTTTCTATATTTCAGTCTCGTTACTTCTATTTCTACATATCCCTGTACCTTATTTTTTTTTTTTTTTCTGCATTTAACTCATAATGTTTTTATCTATATATGTAATACGTTATTTTTAGTTTATTCAACTTTTTTCATCCAAGGAACGTAAGTTTTTGTCCTTACCCGTCTGGTTATTAGTCTAAACTATTTTCCAGTAACTTCATGTCTGTGTTAACACAGTTGTCATTAAATCAAAGTAAACATTATTTTTTGTTTTATATTTTCTTCTCTGCATTTTTGTAACTATGTACATGCTTTATGCTATTTGAATTTGTAGATACGATCTGCAAGTTACATTTATTGCCTGTTACAATTTGGCAGGAGGAATAGGGGGTATATTATTATTAGAAAGCTTGGATAGTTTTCATTGGGTTATAACAAAGTTGAACTTAATATTAATTTTTCGAAATTTTTCGAACCAAAGTGTAAGGAGGTAATAAAACAAATAAGTCAGTTTCACAAAATTTTTGTTATATCTGAAGAGGCCCCCCATAATATGCTAATTATTTAACCATCTAAAAAGGTGATTCTATGACATAAATATTCATCGATAAAAACTTATTAGTCCTTATGATATATTAATTATTGTTAAAAAATAATCTACAATTTTTCTAACATTTTTAATAATTCAACCGTTGATAGAACTTCCGTTGACAGATTTGATGAAATTTAATTCACTGTTTCCCTAAAAATTCAGGTAAATTCATAACATTTAATGAACCTGACTCGAGGCAATAAAGATTGACATTAAAATAAAATGATACTTTTCTTATCGAATATTCTGTAAAATATCTGAACGAAAAAACTGAATTTCAATCATTTGAATAATTGCTTGATTAACTGTGACTTCATGCTAAAATAAGGCAAAAAATATAATAAAAGTTATTCAGGCAGAGCTTTTAGCAAAAGTATAAAAAATGAAAAGTAAAAAGGGAAGTATGAATGAGAAAAAAAAAGAATTATGTATGTACAATGGTAGAGATCTCGGAAGAGAGAACGCGCACTTTTTGTGCCGTCAGTGCAGCTCTCATCAACTTGCTTGGCGCAGTTATGAATTCTTTCTACGCTCAGTTGTATGTCTGCATGGGTATATGTATGTATGTATGTACATTTAAAATAGTCAGCTTTCGCATAGGCAGAAGCGGACGGATAAGGAGGAACGGAAATTTTTAAATGCTAAGACGCCTCTGGCTAGACCTGTGCATGACATTTTAAATCATTTTTTTCTCTCACTTGCACCTTTTTTAAGCGTACGTTTTTTTCACGTTATCCTTTATTTTAACCATCTTCTCTGTTGTTCTGACATGCCACCTTTTTTTTTTTTCATTTTTGTTATCTCGTTTTCGCAGTTATTTTCTTTCTCATTAAGTAAGACTCTTCTCAGTCAATCTGGCATCACCTTGATTTTTAAATATATATTAAAATTTATTATGCTCATCATTCTTTTTAACCTATTTTTAAATTGCATAAAATATTTTTTTTTTAACTGGAAAAAATAAAGTTTTATACTGGAATTAACAGTCGCAATATTTTACTTCTTGAAGAAATGTTAATTTCTAGTTATTTGGATGTAAACAGAAAATGTGCATGTTACAATGTTACGATACATTCCTAAGATGGTACTTTAGAGCAACAACAAACATGTGGATCACTGATACAGTTGTGCCACTGACTGAGACAAGGCTCACATCTGTGTCTGCAAAGACAGCAGGTGCTCCAGTTTTTTCTCAGTTTGTGGAAACGTTTCATCGAAAAAAATAAATTATACACGTTTCAGTTTATGTTTTTACAATTAGCTTTTCTTTTGATATTTTGATTAATCTCAGTAATTTTAGTTAAATTTTTTATACTATCAATATTACGTAATATGCCATGGAAATAAAAAAATTTTTAATTTATTTCTCCAACATTTATTTGCATCTAAATAAAGATTTTACACGGTTAAATGTTAAGTGTAAGATTTTTCTTACTATTCTTTAAAATTTCTAATGAATTTTGGAACTGTCAATGCCAAATCAATGGCAGTTTTGAACAATCCAGCAGCAGTTTGTACTTTCTGTTGAATTTTGTCATTAATGGCTTCAATTCCATCTTTTATAGAACTCGTTTGTTCATCAATAGTATTTTTGAAAGCATTTTCAGTTCTATTTGTTATCCCACCAACCACCTAAAAAATGTTTTAATTAATTCACTGAGTAGCTAAGTGTATACCGTAAAATATTTTAACGATGAACTAAAGTACAAAACATAAAGTAACGTCACTGCTTCAGATTTTTATCAAATAGTACTATAGAATAACTCAATACTACGTTACATCTTGAACTATGGATTTTCAAATGTGTTATTCGTGCAATATTTACCGATGGAACAATGTCACCTCCGCTGCTAAGTCCTGAAATAGATCCTAGTGGTTCCTACGACAAAAATTAGAAACAATTATTTTAATTCGATGAATTTTTACATAAGCATCCATAAATCTGTACTACTTTGGAAATTTTGTGTCTAAATACACTAAACTTAATTTTGAACAAAAAATTTACCTATCCACTTTTTTGTAACGACCTAATTAATTTCAAAAATAGGATAAGCCCAAATTTAGATTTTTCCCCAAAATTATATTTAAATACAAATATTCGAAATATTTGGTATAATTTGTTATGATTACCTGTATACCAGTAGTAATCTGATCCTTAACTTGTTCAACTCCCGAGTCCTGCAATATTTTTTAAGAAAATTGTTACCAATATCCTGTTTATGTAAAAATTCTTTGCAAGTTATTTTCACTCTGTTGCAAACTTATGCACCCACTAGTGTAAACAAATGAAGCCTAAGTGGGTGATAAACATCAGCTGATGTAGCTGAATGATAAAAACGGTTATAGTATAATGCGATTCATCATCAATTGGGACCGTGTTTTGTATTAAACTATTAAATAAGAACAAGTTGAGATCTCAGGTTATTAAATTATTAAAAATTTTGCTTTGCTGAATCTTTCCGTGAAAGATAAGTATTCTTTTATTTTCATTCCAACCACTCAATTCTCTTACTATCCATATTATTTAGCTACATTAGCTTATGTTTGTGATACAGCCTTTGCTTTCATCACATAAAGGGGAGCATAAGCTTGCTGCGGAGTGCAAATGGTTGTGATTCACCTGTATGCCATTAGTAAAACCATCCGTTATTGAAGACCACGGACCCTACAATATACATATAATTTTTGTCGCAATAAATATTGAATGAAAAAATTATGGATCATTCTATGACAAGAAGTGTTTAAAGAACGTTTACTTTTCGACCATTGATATGAGTGATTGGATAAGCAAACGTTAAACATAATAATCAACAGTAATTGAATGTTTGTGATTTAAAATAGATCTAAGTACAAAAAATTGTTACCTCTGGTATTTGTCGTTTCTCTCTGGAATCAATACGGAAGCCCTAAAAGGAACGTGCAAAACAAAATTATTTATTTAATAATATGCGAATTTTAATTGTGTGATGTATTAACAGTAGTAAATTCATGAAATTGTGCCTTAAACAAATTTAACATTATTTACAAAAAAAACTATGATATATTTTGTGTAATTTTTGAATGATGAGGCCACTTACCAAAGCTAGAGAGCAAGTCATCAAGACACAGATGCAAGTTTTCGAAGAAACCATTTTCGTATTCGGCCTCCACTTAATTTAATAGCAAATGACGCTAGACTGACTGCGGATAGCATTAATTCATTCAGAGTATTTATACCAGTTTCGAAATAATTAACGCCAGAGCAATGACATCATTAGCCTTCAATTGTAAATTCAAAAAAAAAAATTACGTCTATGTTTGGCAATAAATTTTACAACTAGGTCGCTCAGCTGCATTTGTTCAAAAAACATGTGCGTTTTGTTCATCAGTTTATAAATGGATAAAAATGTGTTTGACTGTATCATTCATTCATTCAGGTAAATATACCATATGGTACATAGCTGATCTTGTTTACATTTTTATGATTGAATGTGCATGTCAGCAAACAGACTATTGATGCATTTGAGGTCTTGGTAAAAATTTATTCAGTATTTGTTTATTGTTTTAACAAATCCCTTAAAAAATGTTATTATCTTGCGATACCTATCAGTATAACTATCAAAATAATTAAACAATGAAAAAAATTATTTTACAAACTATTACATCGAAATATTACGTAAACAACAAACCTTTGTTCCTTTAGTTGAATCAATCATATAGCACATATGCACATGATTTGGTTTGAATTGTAGGAAACTTATTATTTGAAAATTATTTTAAACCTTTACAGTGGCAGATTCAGTGAATAGTTAAAAAAACGTAGAGTGTTTTGAACAATAAATTTAGCATAAGAGAGTACTTTTTGTTGCAAATAAACAAGATTGTCGTTACGAGGCTTCATGTAAGTCTGAGAAAACAATTCAACTGCAGCGATAATATTATTTCGTAATCTTTATCACACGAAGTTTAAAATATTCTACTGTTTAAAATACTTTTGACTCAAACAATGATACTATATCAATACTTATTCTTAACTTCCAATACTTTCAAAAAATCTTAAGCAATTTTAATGGTCATGTAATACTTCAAGACGTTATAAACGATAGTTGGTACTATCTAATACGTGTTTGATCTTTGTTTTTTTTTTTTTTTTAACATATTTAATGGTACACATTTAGCTCTTAGGTGATCAATTTTACATCGAGAAAAAAGAAACATTCAGATACAAATACTATTTTTTTTGTTTTTATTTTAATTATAAATAAATTTGATGTATTCAGCTATTCTAGCTGTAATGTTGTCACTTCTAGACTCTGTGGGTAAAATTTTTTCGACAGCAATCTAAAAACGTTTCTAAAAAACAGTGATAATTTTTTTGAGATTCGAAGACCATACATCAACTTTAAAAAAAATCTGTTTAGTTGCTTTTTTACAAATTATACCCCTTTAATAGAAGTGGAATGAGGTGCTGAAATGAAAATTTAATTAATTCTTTTTATTAATCGTTATTTTCATAGAAAATCATAAGTAGTATTAAGAAACATTCTACTGTAATGATTTTTTTACATATCACTAATTATTCTATAATTTTTCAGAAACCCATTTTATCATGCGCTTTAATGACCCAGCAAGCAATTTAACTATGCATCTTAATTAGTCTATTAATAGCGAAAACTAATTTGAATATGTCAATGATTTTGGGATTTGATGAGCCGACGGCCTCTACTTTTCTATTTTAAATTAAAAATGTATTATCTTACCACACCTTGATAAAGGTATTTTCTTTTAGCTGCAAAACAGAAAAATTATATTTTTAAGCCGTGGCCCGACCAAAAATCGTTAACGCACCATGAGAAGAATTGGGAAATAAGTCACATGGTATCTTTGTTGATATACATGCAATCTGAGACATTCTTTAATTTTCTTCTTTTGATGAGTGATACTTCATTTTTTAAATTAAATATGATACATTTGATACTTACTAGCGTTTCTAGTGCGTAAAAAAGGCTCAGAGAGTAATATGTTAAGAAAATATAGAGTATCAAGCAGAAAACTTGCAATCGTGATATTGCCCTTTTCTGTATTAAGGGTTGGTGAATTGCAAAAATAGTATTTGTCCGATATTGCTGTAAAAACTGAACTTTTGTTAGTACAAAATTGTATTATTACCTGGATTGAAAGTATTATACACAGCTTATAGATAGTTCAAAGCTTACTTTATTATTTTCATTTGAAATGACAAGGAAAAATAGGTTGATCAACTATCATTTTACATTGGCAAATTTTAGGCACAGGAATCTAAATGCTTACATTCATATTGTTTGGAAGTTACTCTTTAGCTATTAGAGCACTACACCAAGTTAACATATTTTTTGTATCATTACTAAATGTATCAATAAATTTCTCTTGATTCAGACAGTATATCAAAATAGATCAGATTTAGAGTACGGTACAAAATACGATTTGCATTATGTATTATAAGCATTGCATTCAATTTTTAACAATATTACGTTGGCACACACCCATCATGGCAAGGCCTGACATGATTAACGCTTATTATGGATGTAGATATTGTGCATCTTAAAGTCAGAATAGCTGAAGAAATCTTTTCGACATGTTTTGCAGTAAAAGGGATGCTGGCTGCGCATGTGACTATCGAAATTATTGATTCTTACGGCTAAGGAGCACGCGTTGCGGCGCACGGTATGCTCGGAGTTTTCGTGCCTTGTAAGATCTCCTCTTCTGATGTACCATTGTGAGCATATATTGCATTGATAAGGTTTCTCCATTGAGTGGCTAAGTAGATGGCTCGTACGTGAACGTTGTGTGTTAGGAGCTTGTGAACAATTAGAGCTACATTTGTGTGCAGCGAAATTGCTTTTGCGCTGGAAAGTTTTTGAGCAATGGGTGCAGCCATACGCCTTTTCACAAGTATGAATATGTTTGTGCCTGGTGAGATGGGAAGATGAGGATAATACTTTTCCGCATATATCGCAGAGGTATATATTCCCTGAAAAATTTCCGCCAGCCCCGCCATTGCTACTGGAACCTTGATTGCGATCTCGATACATCTTCGTTGATGTTTTGTCACAAAAGTAAGATTTTCGCCTGGATGTAATGCGGCAGTAGCTTTGTCGTGCTTATCGTAATTATTGCTGCTATTTCACAATGTCAATAATGGTTGTGTGGTTTGAGATAAATGATAGTTTGTTCCAGCAGTTTTGGCTGTAAGGGAAGATTAAAAAAAAAAATTTAACCGTTCATTAGGAATTTTGGCATAATAAGCATACATTTAATTTTTATACATTAGAGGCATAAAAAGTTTTTTTTACTCTAATTAGGGAGTTGAAAGACTTTACTAATTAACGTTTTTGACAAGTGCATTCTAAAAAAAATTTATATAATTAACATACTTAAACTTTTACTTGTTGTACAATTTTTTTAAAGTAGAATGGAATGAAACTTTATAAATAAAATAAAGAAAAAATATTTCAGAAAAACAAGGTTTTCCTGTAACTTTGAAAAATCAGCATTATTGTATGAGAAGTGGTAAATAAAATATTTTTAGATTTCAAATACATAATATTACTCGATATTACTGTTACGTACATTAATTTTTAAATGTTACATATAAATCCTTTCTACTAAGTAACCGAAAAATTATTCAACAGAATTACTTTTTTTTACATTTTAGATTTTAGAACAAAAACATCATTAAATATGAAAGTCATAGATTTTTACAAGGTATAATTTTAAGTATATATAGTACTTTTTTCTATACTGCAATACTCAAACGCTCTGAAAAATAAAAACGTTTTTAAATACTCAAACCCGTGTGTTTGCTACAGCTACTATCTTTAGGTAGCATATTAGGATACACTATTTTATTCAAGTAGGTTGCAAGTTTTACAAAAAAGAAAAAAAAATTTTTATTAATAACATGAGAATTTCAAATACAACATTTTGATCTGGTTATAAAAATATTCATCGTGTCTTACAAATACAACTGCAGCCTTTTTATTCGGTGCTTGTTTTTATTAGTTATTACCAAAAATAATAATACATAGTTACGTGAATAGAGACTCTTTATGTTTTCTACTTAATTCCAGGACTAAACTACATCGTAAACTATAAAAATTTATGTACAAAGTTAAAAAAAAAATACTCATCAAAGATGCATATGTTACTATTTTAATGTTAAAAACAGGCCCTAAGTTTATGCCAAGAAATAAATAATAAAAAAGAACTCACTCATCGACTCATGGATATTTTCTTTCCCCTTCACAGATTTTAAAGAGCTTTTTAAAAAAAACATGCATAGCTCGACCAAAACTACCTTGCTGCTTTAGGGAAAAATTAAGGGTAAAAAATATTTTGATATTTTTTATGAAGACACATTAACACCATGGTACAGTAGACGCAAATATAATAGATCCTATACATTGTAACTGTGAATAGATGCAGGGCCAATCACTATGGCTTGGCGGAGTCTTTACACCGAATTGGAATCATTAGAGATGCCTTATGTAAATGCGGTTACCCTATTGAAAACATTAATCATGTTCTGTGGCAATGTGACCTTTACAATGACAATCGTAGGGAATTTGTTAAGAATCTAAGTAGAATCAACATTTTTCTGCCTTGCACGGCAGATATATTATTGTCTTTACCTAACAGCGAAGCGTGTTTTTACATTCATAAATTTTTGCTTAAATGTAATCTAAATGTATAAATGCGATATATTTAATTAGTTTAAGACTCGTTGAATTGTGTTATCTAATGTACTTTTATTATTTTTTTGTAATCATTTAAATCTCATGTGAAGCTGAAATGGGCCTTCAGGCCTCAAATGCTCAATAAAAAAAAAAAAAAAAAAAAAAAAAAATTTTTATTAATAAACACATAAACTTTGTAATCAGCGTCTACTGGTGATTTTTGAGTGACGGACAAAATGTANAAAAAAAAAAAAAAAAAAAAGGTATTTTCTTCCTTGATTGAATGCCTTCACTGCAGTAAATTGTTAACTGAAATATAGTTGCCTTATTTTTATGTTCCTTTAAAATTAAGTGTATGTTTTACTCAAGTTCAATAAATCTAAAAGTAAATTTTTATGTATATAACGTGCACAATCATATAACGTTTTTGTAAATAATTATAACTATACATTTCATAGCTCGATTTTTCACGTGCT